TTTATCTAATATTAGCATTTTGTCAAAAAATTTATTCTTTCCTGGTTTAGGCATGTTTAGTGAGCACTTATGTAATAGCTGATAGTTAAATTTAGCCTTTCATCCTATAACAGAAAAAAAAACATTTTTAATTAATGAGTAATTCTACATGCTAAACAATACAATCCAAATAAATTATTTATTTATCAAGAATAGTGATCATCATCATCATCATTAGCCTTACCATAGTTATTTGTAATTGGTTGTACGAATGCTCATTTTTACATAGATTCCTGCGATGCCTGCTGAGCACTTTGTCTAAAATGTTAAACCAACACTTCAGAAATCTTTTTTAACTTTTATCCATGTTAACTTAAACTCTACCACTTTTCCATCCTAATCCTTCATCACTAAACATATCAACTCATCTAATAAGTATGTTGTTTAGCCTTTTTTTGTACATATCAAACGAAAATGAATACATTTTGAACTGCAATATTTTAAATGTAAGTCAGTAAAACCACTCATCTAATAGAATTATTCCTTAATTGATTGTTTATAATTTTGCATGCTTCCATCTTAATATTCCCACTTATATCACATGGGACTTAATGATCAACAACTTTCTAATGACACTCGGGTACATTCATCAACATTAAGCCAAATTCCAATTTTATAAATTTACCTCTACAACTTAATGATATTTTTTACCACATAATACTCTAAATATGTGTTTTATTTTAATAACTCAATCATAACATTCAAAGATATATATTAATTTTCACCACCAATCTTCCATATAATACATATAAGATACTCAAACTATCGCACATAAACATCACCTAATCTTCTAATAAAATTGAATGTTATTTATTAAAATAATCTAGGTCAAATTGCATATCATATGCCCATCTTTTATAAATCATCTATCATTTAAAAATTTTCTCCATAATTATAAATTCCTACTCATTTAAACGAATGTATCATCATATCAAACTATTTTGTGGAAAAAAACATATCCTAAGGCATGGCACTTTGAATATTCTTTATAAGCAACTTCATAACAGCACAAAAAAGATATGAACTCAGTGATGATCCCTAATAATGCATTATTATAAATTTATAGTTGAAAACTATCAGGTAACTCCACAATTACGTTTAATAATAAGTAGTTATCCAGCATGTATATCTTTAATAACTTCAATATATCATTAATACACTTCTTTTCTTAATGTACGGAAAATGAATTCTTAAGGTATTCAGTCATAAGCCTTTTGAAGATCAATCAAAATATTATTTCTCTACTCTATATTTTTCCTTTTATTGTCATGATATAAAAATTTGTTTGATAGAATATCTTCCACAAGCAAAACTAAATTAATTCTTTAATATTGAAAAAAATCTTTGAGGATTATGCCCCATTAACCCATGGCTTCGTTGCATGAATTATAAGCTTAATTTCTCTATAATATTACAATCTTGAACATATACTTTATTGTGAGATATTGGCACCAAAATACGTTTTCTCAAAACATGATGCATTCATTTAATAATATAGAATGAGTCACGATTAGGGTTTCCTAATGCAACTAATATGATATATAATATGAATACATGCACAAGAAATTAAGAATATAAAGATCTAAAGCCATAAAATAATTCATTATATGCACTCCTCAAAAGAAAATAGACAATTCCAGAATTAAAACCCATCCAATAAAGAAATGATCAAAATACTATGAGAAATTTACTGAGATATAAGAAACACAAAATCAATGAATAAATTTAATATAACTTTCACAAGTAGTATTTTTGGCACATCACTTCTTGATCAAAATCAAAAGCAATGAACCATTCAATATCAATTTATGTATATGAAATAACAAAGGAACAAAAATACTGAAATAAAAAATCAGGCCTCAAAATAGATGCAAGGAGACGACTTCCCTTGGAATTAGATAGCCATACACCACATTTGAAAGAATTACACATGCAACTTATATTTACAAGACGGAAATAAAAAAGCAAAATGTATTAGTGCCACTCTTTTCTATTACAAACCTCAGAATATTTATTTATAGATGATAAGGTTGGCATAGAATTAGCTCAATTCAAGTATAAAGTCCAAATTAAATCTAAGAAATTAAATGGTTAAGCTTTTAATTTAAAATCCAAACTCATTATTATATTGACAAAAAACCACAATTTTAAAATCCCTATACCACATGAAAAGCCCAAACAATTTCAAAAATAGTGTATATACAGTTCTCAACAGCCTATTTACATGGCCTACAAATAACAAACTGTAGTTAAAAACTTCTCCAACGAAGACAAATATAAATTAACATCTAAAATAGGATTCCAAGAGGATAAAGCTGACAAATTTACCCCAAAACAAAAGGAACATGTCTAAAAGCAACATTAGTCAAAATGCCATTGCCCAAAGGAGCAGTTCCGCCACCATTTAGTTCTCAAAATTCCATTAAAATAATTTCTTAACTGAATTACTATATTATCCCACATAAAACTTCATATCTCAGAAGATATCTAATTTAAAACTAAAGCTTTAACTTTATGCATTTTTTTAAGCTAACTATATCTTGATTTTTTTTATCAATTTTCATTATTTTGTTTCCCAAACACATTTAATAATTTCTCTAAATTATATTTTCATACATCCTTAATGTCTTCTACGTGTATCAAATTGGGTCAACATGTTAAAAATCTACATCCTTAATGTCTTCTAAGTGTATCTAAGCAATTCATGCATTGTCTACAAACCCAAATTTAACACAACCTAAACAGGACTGACATGAAACAAACTAATTTATTAAACGGGTTAAAAATCTTAACCAGAACCAGACTCGTCTTCAACCCGATTGGCTCAAACACAACTTGATGGACCTGTTTAGATATGCATTTTATGTTAAATTTGAGTTAAATTTGGGTCAAGTTTGGATCAAACTTGAGTTTGAGGGTCAATTTCAAATTTGCAGGTCAACCCTAACCAGACTTGAAAATTTAAATTAAAGTTTAAACCCGAACTAGACCCAAACTTTTATCGGGTCAACCCAATCACAAATTGTTTTTAACCAAGCCCATTTCAGGTTGTCGTGTCAAGTGAATTATTGACACCCCTAATGTCTTCATGTTTAACTAAGATCAATTAAGTCCACTCTCGAAGTAAATTATATTTTCATTTGTCTTTAATGTCTTCTAAGTGTATCAAATCAGGTCAACGGGTTGGGTTTAGGACTCACCTCAATTTAAAACAACCCAAATAAGTTGACCCAAACCAAACCCATTTATAAACGAGTACCCATCTTTAACCTAACTGACTCAAACACTCAAGCGACCCATTTTGACATGCATTTTAAGTTAAAGTTGAGTTAAACTTTGGTCAATTTTGAATCAATCTTGACACCCCTAATGTCTTCATCTTTAACAAAGATCAATTATGTCCATTCTTGAAGCAAATATCTTAATCAAACTCCCTAGATCTCCCATCTCTACTTCCTTATCATATATAGATCTTTTACTATTTACTTTGTACTACACCTATCATATATTTCTATATTTTTTTATTATTTATTTATTTTTTATTAAACATATCATATAAATCATTATAAGTTATAGCTTTTACTTTGCTCACAATGCTCTCTGCAATCATATTAATTTTCAAATAATCATTACAAGTCATAGTATTTAGTTTTTTACACTGAATGAAAGCACACTTTTTCTTAATAACATTTTATATCTCCTAAATCAATCACCAACTATCACTACTGTTGTATGATCTCTTTTGCACTCACCTAAGGCCTTTAAGATAATCTTTTTAATGACACTACCCATCATAGCCCATTTTATAATTCAATTAACTATAGAATTCTCTTTTGCCCCTTTTTGCAACTTATTTCGTATAATTCAAATTTCACTAACCTATCCTAACGAAACTATTTCTTATAATCATTTGATTAATACAAGGATATACATCTATAAATACAACTCAATTTTGTGCAATCAAACTCCAACATGGAATTTTAAAATCACTTGAAAAATTCTTGTTTCCCTAAATTCAACTCTATTTGGCCTGATTTTTGTAATTAATTAAGTGCTCAGATCTTAAAATATGTATTTATCAATGCAAATTTGTAGGCTAGTGCAAAATCAAGTAAAACTTCTCCCATTATTAATTATTACATATCCATTTTGAACCCCTTCACAGCCCACCCTATTAAAACACATCAGTTACTTTAAATCACCTCCAATAAATATCATCGCAAGCATGCGTTTTAATAGTTCATTAATCTTTTCCTTTTTTTATACCTTTTGATACAACATGAGGAGCATAAGCACTAACCACATTTATAGAATCCTCATCGACAAATACAATAATAGTAAACCGAATATTAGTAACCCTATTATACTCAACTAATTGCTTTTTCAACTTTTTATCCACTACTATCAAACTATGCTTCTAAAGCTATCCTTACAGCATACTATAACATATAACCTTGTTCAATGTTGTAGGAATTTTTATTTTTTCATTTATTTATTGTAAGTAAATAATATTTGCACTTATTCTATTCAAAAATAGCAATTAAATTAATATTGTCGACTTATCCAGTGAAGTATCATGAAATAGGGAAACAAATGTGAATCTAGCATTCTTAAACAACGTCAATTGCAAACAAAGAGTTCATCAACCTAAAAGAGGCATTTTCCAGGTTCTTGTGTTGCCAACCCAGATCAACACATCTAGTGCATGACAAACAAGCAGTCAATATCCTCAAGAAGTCTGTCATGACAAGTTCCAGCATTGAGTTGCTTTCAGTCACGATAACATAGTAAGCTTGCACAGCTGATGAGAACTGAAAACTTTAAATATGAAGTTAACTAAGAACAGAAAAAAGAAAAATGTATAGCAAATAAGCAAAGAAAATACTTACTAGAGGAGCTAAACAGCAATAAAATCCAATATCACAAGCAATTTACCATATACAGAAATGGTAGCAACCAGTCCCCAATAAGAAGCTTTAGCCAATAACTGCAAAACAAAATAAATGAAATTTATCGTACCCACTCATTTCTGCAATCTCCCTCGAAATCTTCATCTTCTTCGTGGTTCCCTTGTACAAATCCTCAAGACTGCACGGCAGTCGATTCTCGATGGGCGCAGCCTTCTGCGGACGCTGTGCATTCATGGACCCTTCCCTACCAAATTCCGACCCAAAGAAATCATTCCCTACGGGAAATCTCGACCCGCTCCTCATCCCAGCGGTCCCTCCACCGCCGCTCATTCCTCCAAACGGGCTAGAGAAGCCGAAAAATTCCGCAAAAATATCATCAGCATTCTTCGGATTGAACCGGAACGTAGCCGGCCCATCTTTGCCGCCGAAAAAAGAAGCACCAGGGCAGCCGGCCCCCGGCGGCGGTACTTCACCTTTCAATCCTTCCTCCCCGTACTGGTCGTAGATCGCCCTCTTTTGGGAATCACTGAGGACCTGATGAGAAGCAAGAAATGGGGCGGATCAACAACCGAAGATGAATGATGACATCTGTTGGTTGCTTGGTAAGAGATCAGAAATACCTCGTAGGCCTCGGAGATCTGCTTAAACTTGGCCTCAGCTTCCTTCTTGTTTTGAGGGTTCTTATCGGGGTGCCACTTCATGGCTAGCTTCCGGTAGGCCTTCTTGAGGTCGTCATCATTGGCTTTCTTATCGACCTGCAAGACCTTGTAGTAGTCCACTCCCATTCCCGAATCACTCTTTCTTTTCCGATCTCGTTGCGCTCTTCTATCCTGTCCGTCGTCGATGAAGCTTTGCAGATAGATTTTACTTCTGATTCTTTGTTTCCTGCAGTCACAGTGGCGATAGCTTCGGAGAAAGGCTGTGAGGGCTGGTTCGATGCCATCTCTTATTCTAGCTAGGTATGGCTGGTTAATTTTAAATCTAGCAAAAATGGATTTGATTTGGATTACTATATAATTTTCTATATCTTTTTGTAAGTTATTGGCAGCTATTTAAATTCTTCTTTTTTTTTTACTAGTTTCATTCATTTTTAGATAGAGAATGAATTCTAAGAAAATCAAATTTTTAATTTATGATAATATCAAAAATATATTTGTATATTTTACATCTACCCTTATTCATGTCATTATTATTGAATCCAAAAATATTTGATATAAGATAATTTAGACGTTGAGGCAATGAATCATACTAAGATGTAAGAAAGAATTAAGTTAACTCCCACATAATTCTCCAAGTACTAGATTTGGATCCCTCTCTAACACTTGAGACTACAACCTTTATTTTTAGACAATGATTGAGATAGGGAGAACAATAAGAAAGTCAAAGATGGCTTGAACTCTTGAGTTATAGTCACTGAGTATGATCTTAAGGTATTCATCAAAAAATAAAAATATATATCTACTTATACTCTTAATCAACTTTTGGGTTCTTAAATAGTTGATTATTAGATTATAGCATCTAGAGGATTAAATAGTGTCATTAGATAAGAAATGGAAGAAAATAATCAAATAAAAGTGCACTCTAAGTAGAAGATTCAAAGAAAAATTCATCTAGAAGTGAAAGAAAGGAGGATGATTTGGCAATGCTCTCATGATAATTAGGAACAATGTTAATAAAGTCGCACTAAACATGTTAAAAATTCAAAATTTATAAAATTACATCTAGAGGTTTTATTGCAGGTTAAAAAGGAATGTGTCATATGTATTCACTATAAGAAGTCAAAGCATATCGTGTGAAATTTAACAAAACTTGGTGGATGATAAAAAAATAAAAGCAAAGGAAAGGATAAGAAGCAAGAAGGTAAAACATCTTATTGGAGGAGGTTAATATTATCCACATCAATTATGAGCACGACTTCAAATCATAAATGATATGTGAATTTGTTTTTTTTATTAAAATTTAATAATGGATTACTAGTTTATATATACATATGAAAAAATCATTATCATTATAAAATGAATATAAAATTAAATAATATTTTTCTTAAATGTAAAAATGCATGTGATAGTTTTGAAAAAGTTAGTTATATGCTTGCCTTCAAACTAAAATTAAAATATAAATATCAAAACTATACTAGAACTTTCTTACAAAATCACATCCAAATATTAACATAACCATATAAAAAAAGGCATTTTAGCAATCACGTATACCATACACATAACTCCATCATGCATAGCACTAGCAAAAAGAAAAAAAAAATCAAATACAAATACCAATATTTTGTTTAACATGTGTGGTTTGTATTGTTGTATTTCATCTGATTCTATTTTCAAAGGGCACAATATTGTTCATACTTTATATATGTTAGGACACTAAATAATACAAATTCAATATAGACGTGCACACTACTATTTAACCTAAATACTTCATAAAATAACTGAGGGCTCAAATATATTTGGATTTTAAAAATAACAATATGATTTTCTTATGAGAATGCCTTCATAATAGAACAAGAGAAAACATGTGGTACCTAGATTTTGAATGCTTAAGGTAATTGATTGAAGAGGGGTCAAATTTAATGTCATTAGAACCAATCAATGATTGCTTGCTATAATTAGTAACATTCTTTGAAAAAAAAGTAACTATAATTAAAAAAATTCAATAAAAGTAATCAACCATTACTAGATTAATACTTAATTTAAACTTTATTAGTATATTATGTATTAAAGACTTTCTTATGCTAACAATAATGAACATACTTGATAGACCACATACGCAACAAAATTCATGTTTTTTGCATTGATAAATTAGATAATAGGAATTTAATATGCTCAAAATCTTTGTTACATGAGGTTTAGGTTTGGAATAAGAGGCTTTTCATAGAATTAGGAAAATTTCTATAGTAGATTTTATTTGATTGTTGCATAAAATTAATTGCACATTTGATACTGCCTGTGATGTATGCATTCATGAGAATCACCCCATAATATCTTTTTCAAAATTACCTTTTTTCATAGAATTAGGAAAATTTCTAGAGTAGATTTTATCTGATTGTTGCATAAAATTAATTGCACATTTGATATTGCCTGTGATGTATGCATTCATGAGAATCACCCCATAATATCTTTTTCAAAATTACCTACAAAAATTAGAAGAACAGTAGAATTAATTAGCATGGACTTATTTGGACTTACTAGAATAATTAGTTTAAAATATAAGAGTTTTTCAATTTAGACTTATTTGGGCTTACTAGTAATTTTTTTAACGAATAAGAATGATGACTTTAGAAATGAGAAAATTTTTAAAATATGATCAACAAGAATAAGAATATGAAAGTTTTATTATTCAGACCATTCATAAAGAAGAATTTAAAATTAAATTATCCGAACATTATTGTTATGAACATGATGTTAGAAATAGAGAATTATTAAATACAACAGAGCTACAAAAACGTACAAAAAAATTTTAATTATGTTAGTTAAATCAATAAGCAACGAATATATATTTCAAAAATAATTTTTAGCAAAAGCTATAAGTACTTCATGTTATGTGATTATCAAAATTAATTTAAGACTAGTATTAATGAAGGCATTGTACAAACTATTTCAAAGTAACAAGCCCAGGATTGAACATCTAAATCCAAAAACTCCGAGAAGGGAAGCTTCAATCAGAGGTGCTCGGCACATTCGTGGAGGTCTAAGGAGGCTAGGGATTGAACCTCTTGCTGTGGTGAAATTTCTAGACTCAAATTCAATCAAGACCAAATTTGGGTGTTGATCAATGTCTAGGGTAGAGGCTCTCTATGAGGGCTTTGATGGACCTTCTTCTTCTCTCACTGTGGTGAAGGTTTGAGCAAGTTTAATTTGATTTTGGTTCAGTGTGAAGTTGTGGTGGAGAGTGTCCTGTTTTAGGCAAGGATTTGAGCTCTGAAATTGAGCTCCAACAAGGGAAATTAGGGCGGGGAAGTGATTAGATTGCACTGAGGAGGTCTCAAGGAGACTGTGGGAGCAATTGGGCAGGGTCTCCTTGAGAAAATTTCAGCACCCAAGCTTGGGTCGTGAAAAGGCCATTTTATAGCCATGGCCAGAGACGGGAGCTCAGGGCCTGACTTTGGGTGCAAAAGCTTGCTGAGGTGGTGAGCTAAGCGGTTCAATTGGCCAGTGGGAGTGAGACAGCTTAGATGGGTCAATTGGGTGAGGATTTAAGTGTGGTAGCTCTCGATTTTGAGGTACTCTGGCGACTAGGCTAGCCGGCATTGGCAGGGAAGGTGCTTAGGTGGCTCGGGAACCTCAGACGAATCTGTCACAACAATTAATTTGGGCTGGTGATAGGTTTTGGTAAAGATATCTTTAGCTTAAGCAATTTAGGAAACAAATCCCTTGATTTAGGGGACCTTTAGTCCATGGCTCATCTAGGGTGGGTTAAGTGGGTCTA